TTTCTGGGGGACGGGGGACCACACAGATATGGTAAGAAAACGTGTGACAAGAACATTATTAGGACCAAAACCACCCACTTAAAGCTGTCTCATTAGTCCAATGAAGGTGTTTGTTGGATAATTGACGATAAGCTTCTCCATTACAAGTAATTCAAACCAAGTTAAATCTCTGTTCTTGTCATCTTTCATTAAAAGATAAAAGAAAAAAGAAGAAATGAAAAAAGAACTTCAAACTAATTCTAAAAATCTATGTTTCTTCTTTGTAATCATTCAAAGTGTTGTCCAGTTAGATGTCGTGTGTGTTTTTCTTTGAGTTGTTTTTGGGCGTAATAAATTTGATTTGAGTAGTAGTTTCTTGCACTTTAATTTTAATGATAATTATTTTTGCTCTATCATTTTTTCAGAAAAAAAAAAAAAAAATCTTTTGAAGACTTTTTAAAACTTACTGTGAACCAATTAAAAGAAAGGCTAATAATAATAATAATAGGGCAAAATGAACAGGAACATTATAAACAGAAAAGACTTAATAATATAGTCAGAAGTCAGCAGAAAGTGATATAATCACAAGTCAGCTGAAAGTGATTCACCTTCTCCGGAGCAGTAGCGCACCAACAACAGCTAATATCTTGGTTGGCAGTCAGTACCCCTCTCTTTACAAGATTATCCTTAGTAGGCAACCTGTCTTGGAGCAATTGCCAAGAAAAATCACTAATGTTGGATGGTATTAAGGACTTCCACAGCTTTTTAGAGTTCACCACAACTCCCTCCTCTCTGTTTGAAACCCTCTCATACGCTGTCTTTACAGTGTAGTGCCCTGTTTTGCCCACCTTCCAGGATCATTCGTCTTGCTTTCCATAAGTCGGTTGCTGTCCCTCAATGACTTGTGATTTTGCCTATAATATTTGGATGCGGGTTTGTAGGTGGTGGGGGTTGACAACTGTTTTGAGTAACACCTGTTCGTCTATGTTTCACCAACACTGTGGTGTGCACTCTTTGGCTAGGCAGAAATGATAAGGTTTTCCAGGATCATGAGGCCAGTGCAGATAAGCTATTTGATTTGATTCAAATTAGATCACTGTATTGGGTAAAAGGAAAGCTAGGATTGGATAATATTGATTTAGCAGATTGGAGAAGCAATCCTTTAAGGAGTTTGAAAATTAGGAGGCCAACATAATGAGGAAAATATTTGGATATGTATGGCTAGCAAGCATATTCATAATATTTAGTGTACATTAGTAGGAGTACCCTTATACTCTAAAAATAATAAAAATAAATTATCTTTGCTTTTCATAAGAAAAGAAAACTTAATTATAGTCATATGTCACAAATGATGATGAATGAATTATAAACAAATTAATTAACACCATTTTTTTAAGGGACAATTATAACAATATAGTTACAATATTACATAAAATTATTAAACATACAATGTCATTAAAAAGTTGATAAATATAATATCATAATTGAGTGTATGAATAAAAAATATAATTATATAATAAAATATTATAATTGTAAATTTACAATATTATGTGGTATTAATTTTATCATTTTTATTTTTAAAAATATCCCAAATTTATAACCCAACTATGTTCAATTTTGTTTGCATGAATTTCAAAACGAAACAAAGAACACACGTACCATGCACATAATTTTGACTATACAATAAACAATAGTAAAAAAAAATATCTCTTGACTATACTATGTAATGAGGACCTAATGATGCGAATAACATCACTTTCTAGTCTAGCTAGACTATTGTGGAAGGTTGTCGGAAAGGGGTGATCATTAAAGAAAGAGAAATAATAATGTTCATGAATATATCTTTTCGAAATTAATTTGGAATATTTGTACCATGATTGGAAAATTTTCTCAATAAAAGGAGAGGAGGCTCTCCTTTCTGCTTTATCTCACTCTCATTGTGTGCACAAAGACCTAGAGGCTAGCTGCTAAGAGTGAGTCTGGTTGTCATGGGGGATATTGTATTAACTAGAGCTCTGCCTGGTGGTGCTATAAACACTGGTGTTCTTAGTGTCTCAAATCGGTATGATCTCGCACGCATGCCTACAATTGAAGGTGGACATAATTCAGCAGTGCTGATAGCAAGAGATGGTCGTCAAGAAGGCGTCATCCATCGTTTCAACTTCAGAATGAGGGCGAAAGGAGCCCGTGCCAAGCAAACTCTTGCTGGTATGAAGCAATTCTTTGACCTTCATGGATTGCAAGCTGGAGATCAAATTACGATCTATCTTGTGCAAGAAGAACTGAAGTTGCTTGGAAGAGTCATTCGCCCCGCAGTTTATTCAATTGATTTTGAGAGGGGGCCCGTAGTCTAATTAGGTATATTTAGATTGGAATGTTCTCTCTCTCTCTCTATATATAAATATGTATCTTTATTATTATTTTTTTTATCAGTATCCATCTTTATGTATTGAATCGCCTTTCTTCCGTTCATTCTATTTAGATTGTAAAAAAAGAACACTTAAATATGAGATAACCTTCGTCTAAAGGTCTGAAGTATATTAAACATTTCTATTATGTATCTTCTTTTTCTTTTTTGAAAATAAGCTACCTTGATAGGAACCATTCTGTCGTTCAGTGTGGATGCAGAATATTGGTTCTATTAGAGTGGCCTTGATGTTGGTTTTGTTTAAATGCTTTCTGTTGATAGGTGAAAGAAGAAAAAAGGGCCTAGGTGCATGATTGTAAAATGTTCAGTTCTGTTGTAATACATATTTTGACGTGGAAGGTTCTTTTATCTCTACTTTTTAGTTGTCATGAGAATTAGATAATTAAATTCTCTTTGACAAAATGATTTTTACATGAAAAAATTAAATATTATAAATAAATTTTGAGAAAGTTAGAATCGGATGACCTGATTTCCAGTTTTTGGCTTCTGGCCAATGCAATAAGGAAGGGAGAGAATAGAAAACAATCATGACCATTACTGCTATGAAATATCAATAAAAGTTTGATTAAGTTTGCATCTGTTAATATAAAAATTTTAAATTAAAAGTAAAATAAATAATTTAAATGTCCATGCCGTGATGCATGGTTTAAATACTCCCATACATTGTCCGCCTTCCTACAAGTTTAACTTTCGACTTTGCCATGTTTAAATCATGAGCAATGCTAGGGGCACTCGTTTTTCGCACTCTCCGGCCAACACTTCCCCTTTCATTGGGCCACGTAAGCTTCTTTAAAGCTTTCAGGCCAACTTCTTGGGAACCAAGATAACGTGGCCCAATAAAAGAAAAAGTGTTGACCGGAGAGTGCAATAAGCGAGTGCCCCTAACATTGCTCTTAAATCATATTAAATGAGTAATGATACGAAGATAAAAATTTAAAATCAATGATATGGTATAAAATATATTATTAAATGTTTTAAAAAATTAAAAAGATGTTTACGTTTTATTAATTTAAATAACATAACTTATGTTACGTCATTAGTTTTAGGTTTTTGTCTTAAAATTTAATCTCATTTACAATTATTCTTATTAATTATAGAGATGTGGGTATAAGGACACAATTTAACTATTTTTATTATCAATTTATAATTTTTTTTTAAATAATTGCTCTAATTAAGATGTTTGAAAATATTTATATATAAATTAATTTTAATTACCTATTATATCATAAATAATATTTTTTATTATTATTTATTTTTTAGAGATAAAATAAGTATAAATGAAAATTATTCCCAAATCCTTGGAAAGATAAAATCAATGTACATTTATTATTTCGTGACAGAGAGTACCACTAGATCATATGAATCTCCCCCTATTTATCCAGAAAACAAAAAGGCATCTGGTTTTGCAGGGCATTATTTTTGCTACATAAGAAAATATTAAGATCACACAAAATTTATTAATATTATATATCTTTAAAATATTAATAATTGATAGAAACAATTAATAAGTATAATGGTTAGTTAATAATTAATAAAATAAATAATATCTATTAGAGTACTTAACCAGACTAATATTTCTAAATATTTTAATTAATTATATAAAAAAATTAAATTAATAAAATAAATCAAATTGGCTATAGTAGAGGTGAGCTTGGTATTCATCCGGGTGACAATAATCATTCCTGATTCAACACACACAACATGCAGAAAAGTAACCTGATGAAGCAAAGGCGTACTT